CCGAGGGCCCCCGGGGGGAGCAAGCGGAGGAGGTGCCGGTGAACCGCATCTTGTGCCACCCCCAGGTGAGAGGGCAGCCCCCCCGGCCCTCGGAGCTGGAACAGCATCTCCACCGCACACCTCGTTGACCCCGCGTCGCCCCTCTCTCCCTAGTTTGACCTGCGGACCTTTCACAACGACCTTGCCCTGGTGCAACTGTGGACGCCCTTGAGCCCGGGAGGGGCGGCGCGCCCCGTGTGTCTGCCCCAGGGACCCCGGGAGCCCGCCGCCGGTACCGCCTGCGCCATCGCAGGCTGGGGGGCCCTTTTCGAAGGTACCGGCAGGGCTGGACCCGCGCGGGTTTGCCCTGGAAGAGTAGGGTCTGGGGCGATGAAGTCTGGGGAGTGTGTACCGAATCAGACCTACGCCTAGCTGTCTTCGCAAAACACTGCCCGATCTTGCAAAAGGGGAGGAATCAAGGGGGTGCAATGGGAGGGGGGACCCTCAAAACGGAGCCCCTGCCCTCCAGGCTGGAGCCCACTCCGCCGCTTCCCTGTAGATGGGCCTGCGGCTGAGGCGCTGAGGGAGGCCCGCGTGCCCCTGCTCAGCGCAGACACGTGCCGAAGGGCCCTGGGGCCCGGGCTTCGCCCCAGCACCATGCTCTGTGCCGGTTACCTGGCCGGGGGCATCGACTCATGCCAGGTACGAGCCCCAGTTGATGGGAGGGCGCCGGGTGGCCCGCTCTCTAGGGGCGGGACAGCCTACTTTCCTTCTGCGGTCAGGCTGTCACTAATTTCTCTGAGCTTCTATGTCCTCGTGGCTGAAATGGGTACAAGAGTGGTGACCCCAGTGGAGTCAGAGCTGCCTAATCCTGCGGGTGTAAGGCTGCCAAGTGGGGTCGGGGCGAGGGGTCGATGCAGTGCCCTCTCTCTTGGCTCGGGTCCCCGCAGGGCGACTCTGGAGGCCCCCTCACCTGTTCTGAGCCGGAGCCCCGCCCCAGAGAGGTCCTGTATGGAATCACCTCCTGGGGGGACGGGTGCGGGGAGCCAGGGAAGCCAGGGGTCTACACCCGCGTGGCCGTGTTCAGGGACTGGCTGCAGCAGCAGATGAGCGGTGAGTGCTGGAATCCTATTGTCCCCTCCGCAGAGTCCCGCCCACAGCTCTGGGACGAGCCGGAGCTCACGTCCTCCCCACGTGCCCCCAGCCCCCTTCTGCGTCGGGAAAGCCCCCCTCTGAGGCAGGACTTCGGGGGCGGGGG